GACTACGCGTCGGACTAAAATATCGCTTCTTCGATCGGGTAACCGATCGCCGACGACAAGAAATCGGATCCTGATAAAAAGAAATCCCGTGTATCTGTTCGCGTCGCTATATATATATTTACTTGGCTGTAACAGCGTTTTAGTTTACTTTTGGTTTCATTTCCCATTTTCGTTTCCTCTTTTGTTCTTCCTTCCTTTTGATAAATAGATCGAAGCAGCTTTACCCGAACTTATTACCTCCGTTCGTGAAAGGCAAGGAACTGGAAGATCAAGAACGCGTGTCCTTGCCTCCGTCGATCATTGCGACGATATACACAATATTTAAATCGAAAAGGACAATATAGAAATATTCGTGACAACACGCGATTTAGAGTTTCTTTCGTGCACGCCTCTGAACGAAGGAGGGCATGAGCGATTCTCGCTGTTGATCATGTTTGATCACTGACGCATCCTCTTGTCATTCAAACCGATTCGTTCCCTCGTGTTACATCATTGTTTTGGAACATAGTAGCGTCCTCGCGAGGAGTAAGACGAGTAACAATGATTTTTTTTACCTCGTTTTCTTCTTTTCTCTCTCCGTAAGACACTATATTAAATGACTTTAGAAATACGTTAGAAGGATCATCAAAATAATCGCGTTCCAGTTGTAACACGGTTAGGTAAAAGGAACTATCGACAATTTGGTGGACTAACTTTCGTGGCGTGATGTTGGCTCATTGACTGCGGATTTGGTGAATCTACGACGTAAAACGTCCGTCGGAAATATAGTATCAGTTAAATGTACACATAATAAAATTTTTGAGATACGGTTCGATGAAGATTTTTCATGGAACCTACCTGCCTTCTTCAATTTAATCCGCAGTTTACGATAGTTAACATTTAACAGTTTTGAGATGAATAATTTCAGGATAAATCTAAATCTGGATGCTGTATTACATGTTCTGCTAAAACATGAACTTGTTAGGACAATATAAAAGTTGTTTTTAAAAAATCAATCTATTAATTGCTAATTTGATAAAAACACTGATCCTGTCTTGGTTATCGTCTAAAAACTCTAACTGATGGCATCATGAAGACGCAGTATTTATTATACACATTAGCAGCTTCCAGTTTTAGGATTGAAAAAAAGTTTATTTACTATACCTTTATTATTCAAAAAAGTTTTCTGCCCCATCAGTTGCTATTTTTAAGTTTCAAAAGACGTAACTGCATACCATCAACCACAAGACTGTTAAATGAACAGTTCTGTCGAAGGATCGAGGAACAGTAATGCAACGTAGAAATGTCAAATTCATATTAAATATTAAAGATTGACAATCATGATGGATGATTATTTACTTGTAATACTTCAAACTCGCGTCAGCGATAGAACGATTTATAAATACAGTACGAACGCCTAATTCTACTCTCAATAATATATTTGTAGAGTAGTAAATGTAAAGTTTCTTTCATTTGCAATCAGTTTCGTTTAAATTAGGGAACGCTAGACCTATTGTCAATGAAGGCAGTAGTTTTGAGATCATTCTGTGGACTAAATAATCTATCCCCGACAATGGCGGTCTGCTACATCGAGAAAGTGTCGTGGATTAAAATTAATCAACTTAGTCATGGAAAACAACGTTTTTTCGAAATGCTATTTAAAATTTATTTCGTGAGCTCTAATAAATGAACAGTTGGTTTTCTGTACATAGAAATTCTCTTTTCCTACTTGTAATAATTATTTTAAAACGTTAACGTTTTCTTCCTCAGCAGTCCATTATAGTATTAATTTGACGTTCATTTTGACTACTTATTATCCGATTACCATTTATTCGTAATCGCTGCAATAAGCAATTTTTTTACACGTAATTTTATTCATCCAAAACGATATCAATGGAACGAAGTGTAAAAAATACTACCGTTGGCACTAAGATCTATTTCGCAGTGTTCTTTTTCGGCCAAGATGATGGTTAAGCAGCGAAGTTTCACCCAAGCCTATACAATAGTAACTACACAACGAATTTCAATTAATTGTTTAGAGAAAGTTCGTCGATTTTAATCGTAAAAAATTTTAATTGAGATATATTTAATATATACACCGTGAGTAAGAACTTTTTTTTTTTGA